ACGACGATCGTTTGCTGGTAATATTCAGGCGAATCTACTAAAACTTTATAAACTCCTTCTTGGAGTTGCGTTTGGGAGGACGCCAAATTTTGTAGGGACAAAAGGGCGCCGGTCATGCGCGAAACCAACCGGTGTTTATACCGGATTACCTGCAGATAATCCTCTAGACATTTGAACGATTCCGCAGCCGGCTTCTTACTCCTGCACTGAGGCCCCATGCCTTTCTCGTAGTCGAACAAGTCCATCAGCACTCTGGCGTACGAACAGCTCAAGAACTGATGGGCAACTTGGATTTTGCCGTCCACGTTTGAGGCAATCACCGGTGGCTCCAGCAAATGATTGTTCACGGTCAATAGCCTGTCGGGTTGACCCAGCCGTTGTTGATCTACAATGCAGAGAGGGCCGTCCGGGGTGTATAACGCGCGCCATCCGTAAGACGAAAGCAGGTCGTGCATGGTTTCCACGCGGTTTGCAACGCAAGATGAAACGACGAAACCCAACACATACGAGATGCATATGGCCGAGAAATCTAATAAAAACTTCATATTCGATGTGGATTAGCCGTTTTTTTAATGTATACGTGTATAGTGGTAAAAAGATAGAAATTGACGAGTGGCAATGTCGCTCCTACGTAGCGCGTATCGAACAGAACAACATTCGTCGTGTGTCGTCGTTAAAATAATTTCGCATGGGCAGGTGGTATTTTTTTCTTGAGCGCCGTTTTATTTACATAATTTTTTTATTTTTTATACAGGGTGGTTTTTTATCGTGAACCACTCAATAACTAACTGGATTTAATTTTTTTTTCTTATTGTTTTTATATAATGTGGTCTTAATCGTCCACAAATTTCGATGTACTCACCTCCCTTATAGTAACGAATATATTTTATCAACTTTATAAATAAAAAAAATAAAAAATTTCAAATCGGTTAATTACTAGTTTTAACCACTATTTTTAATGTTAGAAGAGTTTATAAGTGAGAATGGCAGGGTAGTGCACGCAGATAAAAACAATACAAAAGTCCACCTACTTTTCTGCTCTAAACTTAAGTTGCTATCAAAAAAGTTTGTGGGAAAAACGAAAGTTGTGAAAAAGTGAAATCACATAGTATAAAATAATAATAATGGAAAAAAAATGCCTTATGAAATCTTATGAGTTATGTGTAGTTCCCCGATAAAATGATCACCTTGTATTATTTTATCTTTGGGTCGACATATTTTTCTGTTATTGTAACTATTGAAGCGTACTTACGCTTTTGATTTAAAAATTGTTTTTTAACAATTATTGTGTGCTAAATTCCAAGTATGTAAAATTGTTGATGCGGTTGTGTATTGATTTAGAGAAGTGTTTTGTGTGAGTTATTACTCATTTGTTGTTCACATCGATACGAAACTAGAAAAATAAGACACTGAAATCACAAAAAATTTGAGTACATAGACCGTTATGAAATAGTTTTATACTGATATTTTATTTCATATCGATACGATTTAAGGTAAGTAACGAGCTGGGTGTTGTTTTTACATATTACTGTTACCCTGAGTCCAAAGTAAACAAATATTTTAAAATATGATTTTTAGTAAAGTATTGTTCATCGGATTCTTACCAAAGCGTTAACTCGAAAACAGATTTTTTTACACGTTTAAAAGAGTGTAAAAATTATTTAGGTAACCATATTGAATTTGCGTTACAAGAAAATTATAAAAAAACGACCAATGTGAATCATTGATGGTTTTCATCATACAATGACATTGTTCATTGTAATTTGTTAGGTTTTATTTTATAGATGGAATTCTTGTTGTATGAAAACAACAAACAGTAGGATTGACCGGATTGACTTTTAGACTTACTCTTATGTTAGTAATAGAGATAGCAAGTTAAAATTTAACTTTAAATGATTTAACTAATCTACCACAAAAATATTTATCCTTATTTAAAAATATATGTTCTAAACGAATGGCAAATATATAATATTATAGTATTTTTATAAAAAATAAGATTAAAAAAATACTTCAGTCTACTGGAATAATGTTAAATTTTTAAAAATAACTTTGATAGTTTTAACAGCTTGATACTTTTTAAATGTAATAATATTCATGTAAAAATGTACATTTGTTGAAAAACAATTGTAAAAATATTATTATTATTATGTAAAATGTTATATTATTTTGTAAAAATGTATTTATCTATGTATAACATGAATAAAAACCTAAAAAATGTATTTTTAAATACTAAATTCGAAAAGAACTCGACAAGGTACTTCATTATAATATTACAACACTACTATTTGTAACTTTTCTATAATGCTAATAAGTTATTCGGTTTGTCTGAGAGTGAAAATCTCTCACCGATTGGCGAACTGCATCAAAGTTTAAAAAGGTTGACTGGGTATGGTAAAATCAATACCTTTTTAGTTTCCGTCTTAAGCTATACCTAATATGTGTTAAATATTTAAAAAAATCACAATATTCAATAATACTAATAATAACAATAATGAATAGTAATAAGTAATAATAATAAATTTCATTGATTTTTAAAATGTATTATTTTAGTTAAATGGGTTCATATTCGATTTATAGGTTGACTTTCACGCAATGTGAAACTCACAGACATCTCACATCAGCAGTGAAACATTATTTGAAATTAAAATGTTTATGTTTTTATTTAAATAACTACATATTTCCAAAATACTGAAATGGAAATCATTAATGTTAAGAATTTGTATTTGCATAATATATAGATTTATATGCTCTGAAATACATTACGAATTGTTTTATACCTAAACAAAGCGTGAGAGTATGTTAAATTAGGAATTCTTTTATTGAAAATTTCTCCTCTGACGTCGATGGTGCCGTTTTTCAAACCGTCGGAAACCGTATAAGTATCAAACTCATTCTTATTCTCCGAGTAGCAATATTGTTGACAAAACACAGACGAGTTTTGTGCGATTTCCGAAATATCTTTTTCGATTTCCCGCGACCAACTCACCACGTCTCGGTCGGTCCTGTCGGTGCTGAAGTATAAGTGTAGAAGTATACGGCTGAAAAATCGAATAAAACGTTCATTTTCGACGCGAATCAATACACGATTTTACCGGGGTAGTTTTTTTTTTTTTTGTTATGTTTACTCGTGTAACGGTAAGAAATTAGAAATCGACAAACGGCAATAATGTTGCGTCGCCTACGTGTCTAAGAAAACGTATTTGTCGTGTAGTCGGTTTTTTTAGCAATTTCGCGCGGGACGGTTGGTAACGTTTTCTCGAGCGTCGTTTTATTTACTTAACGCCATTTGTGTAAGTTGTACAACTACGGCAAAAAAAAAAATTAACAATTTTTAACTCTAATGTAGAATAATCAAATTGTGTTACACTAATGGTTCCTATTAGTTCAGTAATTATTAGGACTCTTTTATTTTTTTTAGACTCCACCAAACCGATTTATTCGTGGTAGCAACTCTGTATACCAGAAATCGTACCTGTAAAGTACTTTATTGGACCAAAAATTGATAAAGTTCATAAAAATGTACATATTTTTCAACTTAAAATACGGCGCTTCATAACTTTTTTAATTAATTAGTTCCGAAGTTGTATAGAATATTCTCAAGTTATAGTACTACCGACAAACGTGGAAAATCCAAACAAATATTATAAACCCTTTCTCCTAATTTGAATTTGTCATGAAGTTTACTTGAGATTGGTCAGAGTATTTTTTAAAATTTTTAATTTTAACCAATTCCAAATTTTGTTTTTAAATTTGAAATTTTATCAAATGTTCAAATGTGTCTTATGCGTAGAGGGAATAAGATATCAAAAAAGTACGCTGAACGATCTCAAGTTAACTTTATGACAAATTCAAATCTGTTTTCAGATTACTTATCGGATCACTGGTTCAGCCTGTGCGATGGACAAAAAGTGTACTATTATATTAACCAAAATGGATTTTACTCGTAGACAAAATGATTTAAATTAAAATAATACAACTGTAATCGTATCCACGTTTGGAAGTAAATATATATATTTTTTTTATAGCAACTTTTGAAATTTAAATGGTAACGCGTAAATAGGATGTCCACAAAGATAAGATGAATGAAATAACTTTTGATCTAGTGAATATTTTTTAAACTAATTTATACTCTTTTGCACTATAAGTACCATATTTTTTATTGCACTTAACTTTCGTACTTTTTTAATTTTTTTTTTTTTTGTTACATTTTTTTTCAAGATAGCCATACCTTCAGGATAATTTTTTCACCAATTCTTAAAAATATTCACTAGAACAAAAGTTCTTTTATTTGTCTTATCTTTGTGGGACGCCCTGTATTTCATTAACTTATTATTTAGAGTAATGTACTAAACATTTTGACTGGTTCATAACCATTTTTAAACAACTATTTTTAAGTTATAAGAGCTTAAAAGTTAGGATGGGAGGGCAAGTGCGGTTGGAAAGTGCGCTCAGATAAAAATACAGCTACACTCCACCTTTCCTTGTACCCTAAACTTGAAACTTCAAGAACTCAAAAAATAGGCATCTAAAACGGGTTATCGACCGTCAACTTTTTTAATACACGGATAAATGAATAAATTGATTAATTCAATTTTTATACTTTCTTATTATATTGTATTATATATTTATATTAAGTACAGATAACAATTTTATAAACAGCATCCTGAAAAATATACGTTATATTATTAAAATTATATTTTGAAACAACTGTAGTCTATGTAATAGAACTATAATCCTATAGTTTAAGACTTAAGTGGTATCTCACAAACTTCGAACGCCGTTTGGTATGCTCTTTTGTACGTACACGTGCAATTTAAATTAATAAAAATAGCAAGCCTTAGTGACAGCTCCCCCTTCCCCCATTTTGGGTTAATCAGTCATCAAACACATATTCGCCATGCTATGTGCCAAAATATATAAGTAATCAACGCATAGGTATCATTTTTTTGTGTATACAAGTGTCTGACGATCTATAACGTTTTAAAATGTAACGAGTTAAGTTCAAATTATTCAACAAAAAAAAAAACGGCCGTACCTAGTTTTATACTAAAGTTTGATTTTATCCATTTTTTAAAAAATGCATAAAATACAAATTTTAGTTGTATGTATTATTCATTGTGTTTTAGCACAAAAAACTTCTGCAAACGCGCCACCCAGTGAGGAATTTGTAAGTAATATTCAATTACAATACTAAAGTGATTTAATAGTAGCGCAACACAGTTATATATAAATGTATAATATAATACCTTATAACTTCAAAAATACTTATCCAAAACTGGTTATCTATCAGTTAAAATTTGTAGTACATAATTTTCAATTAAAAAACTTAACGAAATCTATGCGTTGCCATTTAAGTTTCAAAAGCTGCTATCAAAAAAAGTTGATTCAAGAACAATAATTATATTAAGAGGAGGTAAGAAGTAGAAACATTTGTGGAAATTGAAATCGTATTACATAAAAACTCTTTGAAAACAAATTCTCTGTTTTTACATTTAGCCGTATACTGTTTATAAACGAATATCCTAATGAATGATTAGAACCGCGTCTAATTAAAATGAATTTTAAGTAACACTATTAATAATAGTGTTATGCCAAAGGATATTTGTTATTTAAGTAAAACATGTCCAGTCTTAGATTATATTTAATATTAATAAGAAAATATTTAAGAGGGAAATTGAACTATTTGTACTTTTAATGAAATTAGAGAAGAGTATTTTTAAATAATAAACAATAAAAACTGACACTGCTGACTGTAATGTACTATTAAGGCAATGCTAAATGAAAAGATCTCTTGAATCATCATAGTGATACCTTCACTATGAATTAAGTTTTAATTAATTAATTAATATCTATACGGTTGAAATTCGGGATAGGTACTTAAAAATTGTAAAAAAAAACTGTTTAAATTTAAACACTAATAAAAATGTTAATAATATTTCAGAAAACAGCAGAGTGGGAAAAGGTCCTTGATAAGAACCCCAGAGCTAAAGAACGAGGTTTCATTACTCCACGAATGTTTAAAGATCATACTGGTATAAAATACATGGGTAAGCTATTAACATTTATTAACAAACTTCATGCACAAAAAAACGAGGGTTATGACTTTGCCTAACCTAACATTGTGTTATAAATATAATATTAGTAATTAATATGTTGTGCAAAACGTGTCGATGCTTTTAAAAATTTTAAAATAACTACGCTTTTGTCATTTATATCGTTTGTAATTGCACAATGCAAAATACCTAAATGTAAATCGCATTAATTGTAAGCAGCAAAGGGTTACAAATTTTAGTTGTAATCATTGAGATTTTTTCCACGGTTTTTCAGGACGGCGGCTTCAACTTGATTATGCAGAATTTTGTGAAGCATACTGGGGAGCGAATGCGGGTGTAGACTCTGTGGAAACCTCTGTGGGAGACAAGCAAGTAAAAAGCAAAGAAAATGGGCCCAGAATAATCAGAATAATCCCAAACACAGCGATTAGGAATGATTAATATTGTACAAACAGTTTATTTTAATGTTAATTTACATATTATGTAAATGACATATTTAAAAAATGATGTCAATAATATGTTGTAGGCTAAATTTTTTATATAACTCTGATTTAAATGTTTGAAATATGTGTTTACTTTATTATAATATAATATAATATGTATACGACTCGAGTACTTTAAATTATAAACACAATTTTAGCATCCCGTTAAACATCTTATGTTATGTTTTCAAACAGAACTATACACGAAATAAGACTGGGCACAAAATAAGTGTCCGAGACATTATTATATGATTTACACATGTATATGAATAAGATAAATTATCTTAGATAAGTAATGACAGAAGACAAATTCACATTAACTTCGGCCAAAATATTAAGACAAGGAGAATATTATTATAATAATATGGCTATGTACTTAAGAGGGCGTCGCACCGCCCATGTTTAAGGCGTAAAGTATAGGCAATTTTTTACATAATTTTAATTTTAAGGTTAAACTGTGATGTGTAATTATTAGTTCAATAACTAGAACTCTATTCAAAGAAATAAAATCTACTTGAACCCTAAACCATAAAAATTATACACTTCTAGCTCAGTCTGTTGTTAGCGCTGAAGATGACAACATCGTTGTCGTAACATGTGTACGCAAGAAGTGTATAATTTTTATGGTTTAGGGTTCAAGTAGATTTTATATCTTTACTATATATTTAACCATAAGTTTGCTTAACAGTTTTTTCTTATATATTAGACCAAAAGAAGTTCATAAAAAATTTTGCCTCAAAATGCCCCATTTATAAATATGATAACTTCGGTTAAAAAGGTTTTAAGTTGACAGGGCAAAAAAATTATCATAAACCTAAAGAAAATCATATTATTGTCTTACGGAGAATCATTTTAATTTTTACTTACTTTTGACAGTCTTAACGCGTAGAAACTCAAAAAAATACTAATACACGTCATGTTTTTTTACATCACGTACAAAAACAGCTCTCTCTCCCCTCCCCTTAGAGTAGTGATTACTCTTAAAAAGTAACATTATTTTTCTTAAGCGTGGGGCTAATAGAAAAAAATGTATTCAAATATACTCTCTGTTAAATAATATATTTTATTTAGTACAATTTTTGTTTTTTTTTACTATGCACAATGCTGCTTATCATTTTCTTGATTTCTCAATTATTTTGAATTTCTTCTTTTATTAGCAACACCGTATATTATAACCGGTATTTTTCTACGCCCTCTCAATTCGCAATGTGAAGCATATAAAGATATTTTATCAACGCGAAGGTTTGAATTGAAAATCTATTCATTTTCTGTTAAAACGAAACTATTTTTTGTGTTTTTTGCTGTGGTTTGTCGTTCTTATTTGTACAAATGTTTCAAATACGTGAAAATTTCACTGAAAAAACACTAATTTTTTTTATATAAAAGTCGATAAACTACCATTTGTTTGTATAACGGTATGTTTATTGTTGTTTTCAAATTTCCATAGTATTTTGACATGCTTTTCTTTAGCTCGCTAACCTTGCAAAACTAATTTAACCCACTTGCCGATGTCATAGAGTGCTTAAACTTGGCACAGACACTTATCTCGGATCACAATACAATATCCTGTAATCATATTAGGATTCGGACATCTAGGTCGTCCTACACAGGGTCAAATGTAGGGGGTCATTTCACTGAAATTTCATGTTTTTTTAAACCTTCTAAAATGAATTTAGTAATCTATTTACTAATTATTAAGTACCTTTAATAGGACTGAAAAGTAAAAAATGAAATTTATTTATTTATTAAAAGAAACTTTTTTAAAAACATGCTTTTCTAAAAAATAGTAAGTTGCTAAACTACTCGTACAATGCGACACTCATTCGTCTACATATGTAATTATAGTTTTAATGTGAAACGGACAATAATTACCAAACAGTTTTTGTAAAAACGAGTCTACCAACATAAAATGTCGATACTTCTAACGGAATCTATTCAGCACAATATTATGTTCTGTGCACCATCTTTTTTAGAGACTTCCAAATTAACGACGACATAGCCAGTGTAATCATACTTTTTTTTGTTATTGGCCAACTGTATTCGATTTGTATGATGATTGATGTACAACACTCGATTTAGAACAAGGAAATTGCAAATTAACTATTGTACATTAGCAGAGACAATTATGTCTAGACCTTAGTAAAATGATTCGAATACTTTAAATTATTTTTTTTTTTTTTTATCTGAAAATATATTTACAATCTATACAGTGAGTACATTAAGCAAATTTGATGAAAGATATTATACACATGACAATGAAAAATTAACAGTTATGGGAAGACACTCAGCAGCGTCACCCGGCTAGGAAGCAGAAAAAAAATTATTTTTCATTATATTATTATTTATTGTAGTTTCTTTAAATTATAAACACAATTTTAGCATCCCACTAAATATATGATATAACATTATAGAATATGTTAGTTATATGATTTTAAACAGAACAAAACGCAAATGACAAAAGACATATTCACATTAACTTCTGCCAAAAAATTAAGACAATGAGAATATTATTATAATAATATGGCTATGTTCTTAAGCGTAAAATTATTGTTATTGTTGTTTCGAAAAAATGTCAACTTATATAGATATTTTTTATAGGAGTCCTACATTTTGAATAATTTTGAACAATATTGTTTTAAGTCAAATGAGTACACATATTATTTTATAGTTTTAGCATTGATTATAAATATTATAATATATTTTATAATCAATGGTTTTAGTATTTAAATTGAAATAAGATTGTGTTTAATGTTATGTATGTTTACTTGAATAATTCAATGTACAAATAACGCATTTAAATTAAATATCATTATTTAGAATAATACACAAATATTAAATCATCAAAAAAATTCAATAATAAATAATGATTTAATGTGTGTAGAAATATAATAATGAATCGCAAGATAATATTATTTAATTATCAAAGGGAAAAAAATTGAATATACCTGGTTGTTATAAATACGACACATTTCAAAACAATTAAGTTGATTATACGTTCCGTCATCGTTCGCTTCATCTTTAAATCGAGAGTAGATCTCGTTGCTGTAACACATGTAAAAATCCTTAGCTATTTTGTATTTAACATTTTAATTGCTTATCATAAATTAATAACTTGGTAACACATCTGTTGTATTAATCAACTTTGTTTCAAACAGTGTCGCAGCAGATTGATGAAAATTAAAATATTCAAACCCAAACAGTTTTTTTAATTTTTGGTTTACACCAGATGGATTACCCTGTGTACTAGTATTTACTTTTGTAATGTAATATTAAACAAATATAAGTTCTTACTCCGGTGTAATTTTACCCTTCAATAAGCCTCCTATAAGGAACAAGAATTTTTATTATTATTATGACTATAATGTTTGTAATTAATATTATGTTTAATTAAATCCATTAATCTATATAAATATCGTTTTGTATTTATTTTTTTTCAACGAAAACAAAAAATATGTGCAGAATAATTGGGTTAAAATGATTTAAGGTTTAAGAAAGTTTGGCAAGTTTGGAAACAACGGCTGACAAGTGGCAATCTGTGTAGCTTGTATATTAATTCGGTAAAATTACTAACTTAAAGAAGGAATAAAGTCTTATAACATTAAAAAAAACATACTCCCAAGGACGTGATTATTTCCTGTAAAAAAAAAAAATGTAATTGTTATAATAAAAATAGTAAGTACAATGCTAATCTATTAACAATAAGACAATTTTATACCAAGAATCTTCACACAATTCGCTCCATCTAAAATAAATAATTATGACAAAAAAAGTGTAAAATCAAAATTTAAAGTTACATTACTTTGTTAGTAATATTTTTTGAAACTCAATTTCGAAAATATTAAATTTAAGAAAGAGATATTGTTTGTTATATTTTTGAACAAATAAAATGCATCAAAACAGTGTCATTCCATGCCAAATCACCTGATGTGCGTGCGAGTGGATTTTTGAAATGCTTCAAACTTACATATCCCATGCAGATAGTTCCATAAAACCAGAAATGTGAAGAAAAAAAAAAATTTTTATTTTTTTTTTTGGAGTTAGGCGATGCTAAATTCCGAAAATTTGTTGGGTACACATCTTAATCACGATCACGATCACGTTACTTAATGACTAAAAATGATATCGAAATGGAACTTTTACTGAACAATTTAAATTTAAGTGTTTTTTTTCATAATATACTTGAACAATTTTTTTTAAAAATTTTTAAGTACTTAAAAATTGAAAAACAAATTCAAACATGTATGAATTTCATTAAATTTTTTTATTAACTTAAAGACAAAATTTCAAAACTTTTTTTTTTATTCTGATAGATCATACTACACTTGTTTGATTCATAACTTTTTTTTAACAATTTTTTTTTTATGAATAGGTAACCTCAAAGTTTGGAATTTTACTAAAAAGTGATATATTTAAGAACCTATAACTTTTTATGACATGAACCAAAAGTTCTGAATTTTTTTCAGGACGTTCTCATATGTACATATGTAGAACATTTGGTAAAAGTTTTGTAATGGAGACTTATTTACTTAGCATGGAATGACCCAACATGAAGAGGTTTTATATACTTTTGGTTGTGTAATATTTACACAGTGCTAAGTTATAGTTAATTTGTAAAATATTTACGTATAAACACGTCATAATACAAAGCAATGTCACCATCTTTTAGTTCAAGTTTACAGTCGGTAGTATCTGTAAAATGAATTTCATAAATTAGTTTTAATCGAAAGTCTCGTCTTACTACTATGTTAACTGATAATATAAAATAAAAAAATTGTATAAATAACGCGTATTACCAAAAAATGTTGTTATCAGTAAACTTGAAACGAAAAGAATTTGAATGGATATCATCATAAAATATCAGATTTGTCTAGACCACTTCAGACTTGGATACCTAAACGATAAAATGTCTTTAGTGAGTTTATATGTACCAACATAACTTACAAAAAACGCCGAGTCTCAAAATTGATAATTTAAGTAGGCTATGTATTTAGACGTTTAC